TCCTGGTAGAGGATAGTATAAGAGAAACAATACTGTGACTAAACTAATACACTTTGATACAATCTATATCCTATGATACCACATATGTGATTTACAGTACTGACAGGTTACATGGGTAATACACTGTAAACACTGCTTACAGTTATTCAGATATTGTATTTATTGTTTAAACTGTATTGATGAGGCGCTCACTCCCTCACACATACGGCACACGTTACAATACGACAGAGCTGAGGAGGAGATATGAAGTAGAGCCAGAAAGCAAAGCGCACCAGACGGGACACGGCAACAAGAGTAAAGCTAATAACTAATTCATCACATATTTCAAAAGTATGGTCACTAATGTACGACGTAATTCTGGAAATTGGTCCACGGTTGTGCACAAAGATAAAGCGTTGGAGACGTGTGCAGCAGGCCTACAGCAGGCTGTCCAGGTACTTCTGAGCGCTCTCCTTGTCGTAAGCACTAGCAGGCTGCCTGTAATTGTCGTTGTAGTGCTGCAGGATGGTGACTACATCGTGGTGGCCGAAGAGCACCGCTTCATCTATCGGCGTTTTCCCCCACCTGCACAAAGAAAAGGTTAGTATGTCAAGAAGAACTCTGGCTTTTGGCAAAAGTGTTCCCCAATAAAGACGCCACCTGCTCTAGATTTCCCTCGTCACCAGCACCACTAACACATGTTGTGGTCGTGCCTTTCATTAAATCAAGTGACTTCTCAAACTCAATATTTCAAGCGTTCTCACAAAGTAAAGCCAAATCCATGTATAGCAGTCCTATTAGTCTGACCTTATTATAGTCAAAATGCTTTTGAAATTGCATTTGACTCGCTGCATGTTGTCCATTACTTCTATTCTGTGTTTTAGTTATATTTGTTTTAAAGTCTGTGTATATGGAATATATGTGGCCTACTGCTTATTTAGTGGCCTACATTGGTAGTTGCTTGTAGATATACAGTATAGTATGAACAGGCTGCATGCTACACTCACGTTCAGAGTGACTCAATACTTATATATCAGAATCAAAGTGTCAATAAAACGTTCAGAGGTTGCACACCTCTGGAGGGACACATTAGTGGATGCTGTGTTGGGAATCACACCCAGGTCTCTCACACCAAAGGCATGTGTCTTGCTTCAAATAGATAAGTTACAGTATTATTATGTTTGTGGCCTTTTTTAAGTTAGCGTTTTCTGTTTTTAATACATAGTAATTGCAGTCCTCTGCATGGATTGCTTTCAAAACAATCTATTAGTGCAAAAGGTGCACAGAAACTTTTGAAATGGTGAAAATGACCAAACTGACATACTTTTCACAATCATTTTCTTATTATCATAACTGTGGAAACTGGAACTGTATTAACCATGTCTTAAAAATAGAAATAAAGGTACTTAATAATCTTATTATCCATGTACAGGAAGTGTCTGTAGGTTAATTTTCACATTTACCAAATCAAAAAGATCAAAGGTTGTTATGAAATGTCCATGTAAGCATATGATATGTGATAAACGGGCATTATAAATTGTCATTATAGTCCCTCAGAAAGAAGTAGGGTCTGAATTGAACCCTGGTGTGTTAACAGAAGGAAGGCGGGACAATCACTACACCTCCTGCTTCAAAAGATCCAAACTGCAGCTTATGAGAACAGCTTGAAAAGACATAGATGGTGAGAAAGAGCACTCTGATGACTGGACTCACCTGTCTCTGGGTACTGGGTTCACCTTGCAAGCCTCCAAGAGGAAGCGTACCACCTCTGTGTGTCCTGAAAGCAGAGCAGGTGTTAGAAACACAAAGCATACACGTACCAATGAGTGCTGTGAAGACTCTAACTGGCCGGGATCTTGATATGCCACACCTGTGGCAAAGGAGAAGTTCTCACTTACACAGATTTGGACAGATCTGTGAACAATATTTGAGAGAAATAGACCTTTTGTGTTCATAGAGAAAGTCTTAGATCTTTGAGTTCAGCTCATGATGAATGGGGGCAAAAACAAAAGTCTTGCGTTTATAATTTTGTTCAGTGTATGTATCCTGCAGCAATAACATGGCTCACATTTGAAAATAAGGCTCTCAGACTGCACCATGAAAAACAGTACAGGTCCAATGTATACAAAATATGTGGACAGTGTTGTATATTCTTTGATACTTTTATTTTTAATCAGACACAAACCTGCAATATCAATCTCAAAAAAGATGAACAGGTTAACTTTAGGCTGCACATTACCTTCTGCTGCTGCTACATGGAGGGCCGTTCTAGAGTCGTAGTCCCTCTGCTCCATGTCCATGGATGACAGCGCAAACCTACACACACAATGTTTATGTAACTTACTTTGTAAGTACCTTCAGTTATTGCATTCTTTACATACATCTTATCAGCCAGTTTAGGTTTGTCTCCAGACTGAAACAATACAATGCAATGTAAGGAAGTTTACCATCACTGCCATACATTCTTTCCTTCCACTTAAAGGTTCCTTGTGCAGTTTTAGACATCTAGAAGAGCTCCGGAGCTGTTTATTTATGAGTGGGACCCTGTTTTGTTTGTCTTGTGCACACACTCAGGAGCAATACACATTCCAATGGTTAAACAGAATTCCCCTGACCTACAGGTGGCAGTGATGCACCAAGAAACACAGCAAAGACTGGAAAGAAGAAGTTGGCATACTAATAGAAATGGATAATAGTGGATTTAAAATGTTGTTTAAAATCTGCTTTGTAAATGTTTTCAGACTATCAGTTGTTCGCTATCAGTGTTACAAGGATAAGCATTTTTTAATTTTACTGTAAATTGTCTGCTATGTAGCAGAAGGGTGTTACTAACTCATTTTCACTTTACAACTTGTGCCAATTGAGGTCACCAGAGTGTAAAGCTGCCTTACGCAGCCACGAGAGGAGAGGGATTTTCACCACTTTTCAATCTTTGCAAGGATCAGTAAAACAATCCTTTACACATACTGTAAGAGTGGACTTCAATGGGTGACAAAAAGAGACAAATAAGCCTGAAGTCTTCTGTAGCCAATATTACAAGTTAGTGAGTGGGAGCTGCTCACCTCCTCAGGGCAGAGACGTCTCCTGTGTAGGCAGCAAACAGCAGGTTGATGACAGACTTGACCTGAGAACAGGGATGGGCAGAGAGAGAGAGAGAACATTTGCAGAAGGATTTCAGAGTCACCCTATTTTCACTCCCGCTCCACCAACTCCAGCAGCTACAACAAAACCACTACCAAATACATGATGAATGTTATACTTTTAATTTCTAAGCAGCAGATGAAGCATCTATAGTTTTCTTACTGTCAACAAATCCTATGAAACCAAACCAAACCAACATGTGTTAGTCCGTCATGTCAATCCCAAGGACATTTGTTCCTAATGAAGATGTACATTTTCAAATAACTGCTTAAGTTTTATTTTTTAAAAAGCCTCAGCAATTTCCCATAACAGCTGACAGCTTGTATATTTGTGGGGCACTATGCAGCTGTGGATGAATCCACATTTGGTGCTCTGGTGAGGGCAGCAGGACGGTGAATGTGGGACTGGGTCAAAAGAAACTACAGTGTGTGAGTTCATGGTGATGAAGGATAATGTGAGGCTCACTGACTGGCTTTTAACAGCCATGGAGCTCTACGGCACAGAGGGAGAATAGATATCAGGCTGTGCTCCAAACACATTTTCTAAAAGGATCAATTCACTGTTTATTTTGATCTTTTCATGGGATTTGTTGACGATCAGATCTGGTGAAAATGTACTTATTTAATCATAAAATATAATGCATCTCAGACGACTGCCACTGCAGACATGTTACATCTATGCAATTATCAAAACAATTCAACAAACATGGACTCTCTCTGCATCAGTTAAGACTTACCATCAAATAGGAATGAATCATTTCCTATAAGCAAAACTCAAGGACTTCAAAACATACACAGAAACAATGGATATGTGAAAAAAATGAGAATAGAAACTAGCCTGTATAGAAATACCAATACAGGCTAGTATCTGAACAAAGTTATTACACTTTTTCTGAGTAATATTTTACTATAGCTTCATTTCCAGGGACAGTAGAATTAATATAAAGAGAGATGCTAAATTGAGAATTTGTATTATAAAGTGAAAGTAGTAGTAAGTGGAACAACGGCAGCATAACTAGATTTAAACTTGCAAGGGGACGTTGAAGGCTAAGCTCCAAATAGCAGGGACAGACCAGTACAGGTACACATAGGAGTGTATGCACAAGTAGGTGAGTACATCACCACTGCAACAAGGAGCATGACACTTGATTACACAGCTAGCCAGTACCCATGCGGCAAAAGTAACACCCATTAAAATATTCTAACTTCCACCAGTTCCAACTCTCAACAAGCAAGCTGAAACAAAACATCAAAGCTGATGTAAAGCTTAGACATTATGAGCACAAACTGAGACAGAAGGGACCACCAAAGACAAAAACTATTACAAAGCCTTATTTCACCCAGATATTAGAAACAGATTCAGGCTGCGAAACAAGGCCTGCATTGAAAACATGTCCCAGCACCTTTCGGAAGCGAACGCAAAGCCAGGGCCAGATGAGGCTGGATTCTTACATCCCTCTATCCTTGCGCTTTGGCTAATGTCAGGTTTGATTTATGTTCCAGTTAGTTCTTGTGTTTTTTCCTTGAGCGCTCCCACATTTATTTGTGTCTTTTAGTACTACTTGTTGTAGGCCTACAATAAACTCCCCTTTAATTGGCTTTTCCTCAACAAAAGTGCTGACAAGAATAATTTCCTCTGACTGTTAATTGACTTGACTTGTAGGCTGCTGTGACTTCTTGTGTTCAGGGGAATCAAACTATGTCCTTTTATGTCACGACCACTTTGAGTTGCTTAATTCACTATTTCTGTCCAACTTTTGAAGGGACAGCAATTAAGTGTTTTAGCAGCAAACAGAAGTATTCAGTCAGTCTGAAGGCATCTCTAAAAAAAGAGAAGGTGCGTGTTGTTGTTAAAGAACAGTTATGGGTGGAGAAATGAGATGATGGATAACAAGTGCTTTATTAGAGTTCATACAATCGACACCAAGGCTAAAAAAAATCTTAACACAACTTTCATGTCTCCATCACAGCCAAAGAAACTGAAGTATCAGAATAATAAAAGGAAGACAAGTTCATGTCTTAATTTCGAAGAGCTGGCAGTGTATGGAGACTTTACATACAGCATTACAACCATGTGGACTAAGAAAAGAAATCAAAACATAGAAAAAGTTTGACAGTTATGAGCTTGGAACTGTTTGGCTTCATCTTCTGTATGTTTGAGGGAAATCTTGGCTTTTATGAACCCATGTAACATGTTACTTGTTCCCATGTAACAGCTTTTCTACAGCTTTTCTACTTTTTCAACAATTAGTCGTTGGCCAAAAAAGATCTTATAAATAAAGCATCAGAGAACCTTACAATTCCAAGGTCACCCAGTTATAATGGTAATGGTTTTTCAATTTCCATGTCAAAAGTAGAATGTATGTCCAAGACACAAATCAACATAAATAAAGACATGTGGAAGGTAATCAAATGAACTTTAAACATACTGATTACACACAATTAACACATTTATTAAAGCATAAAACAATATGCATGCAGGTGGGAGAATGAGAATTCAGAGGAAAATAACAGGAAACATTACAAACATGACAACTATATAAAAACCTGATAATTTCCATGGAAATACTGGTAAGTGCATTCAAAAGCCCCTCTGTCATGAGTTTGATTGCACAGAATAATAGTTACACTGTGAGGAGTGAGATAATGGTTGCTGAATTACAAATGTCAAATACTATACTTCATGTTTGTCATTCTGATTTACCAAAGCAAAGTTGAACAGATAACATAATCAACCTGGTTTGTTGCCATAAATGCTGTTCTGGTCCAGTAACATGCAGGCACTGTACTTTAAGATTTTGTACCAATGTAGCAGCAAAAAATAGGTTTGCACGTTGTTAAAAGGAGAAACGGATTCCCTCCACGGTCATATCAGAAAGGAAAAAATCGAATCTATGCTTCTGGAAATTCCCTACTTGTGCAGCATTTAACCAAAAATGCAGTAAAGTAATAAGAATGGTTTCAAAATTGGACAAGTAATAGATAATAGAAAGTGAGTGAACAGAAGAAAAATTTTCTTCTGTTCACTCACTTTGTATTTTGTTAATTGATAAATATAATCTCTTAACGTGTCTATTTTTGAAAGCATTCTTAATTTACAGCATTTTCCCAATAGCTGCCTTAAACTTTTGCACAGTAGAGTATAAGCATCATGGTATACTGTATTTGTACATTTACAGTTATAATCCTTAACCACCTGGTTGGTAAGGCTAAGAATGTCTTAGGGTTCCAATCACAGTGATGTGCTGGAAATTGAGAACATTTTACGTCTTTATTCTAACTTCATATTTGTAAATTGTTGAAACTATTCTTGTTATGACACAAATATGTTTCCTCTTCAAAATCTGTGTGCACGTGTCAACTCTTGTCCTTTTAAATTTCTCCCAGTACACACACGCATCACTTCACACATGCGCACAATTTAACATCTGGTGCATGAAGGTGGACTCTGCTACTGATAATGCAATTAGAAGCAACTAATGAGTTAAAACACATTTAATGGTTATAGCCAGATAAATGGCAGCCACGGGTATGTAATTTTGATGATCTTAAAAAACAGAAGCACTATCCAGCATCTCAGTGCTTTCTGTACACTGATGTGGCAAACCCAACTCCGCTTCTTGCATACTGTAGAAAATACTGTAAGAGCACCAAGGAAATGGGTTTTCCTACACACCAACATTTCCAAGGAGCATTAACGTTGACAGAGGCTTTTGAATCCATTGTACCTCTACACAATAATTAGCAGACACAACAGAAAGTAAAAGTCCATGACTTAAAAAAAAAGAAGAACAAAACTTCAAAACATCACATTGTTATAACAGTGTATTATTATTGGCTCCAGCAGCTAATCTCACAACCAGTCACAACCAGTGAAAAATGCCACAAATACAGTTTTAACAATGATTGAATAACAAACAGACAGTCACACTACAGTCACAGTACAGTGACATCTAAGGCATCAGCTGACATGTGCAAGTACTCTTACTTCCTGGAGGAGACAAGATTATAAATTCAGAACGTCTGTAGTGTATATTCTACACACATTCTAGTCTGCTGTTGAGGATTATCACTCACGTACATATCCCTAAAAGCGTATACACCTGCCACTACGTACATTCAGAAGTGCAGTAAATTACGTATATATGGTAGACAGTTTTGATAACATACAACCTTACTAGAAGAGCAAGAGTTGGAGAACTTTACAAACACGTGGTTTGTTTTGGAATGCAGCTCAGATAAACCCTGCAGATAAAACCTGCAGGCACCTGTTCACAGCAGAGAAGTTGTATGAGGACTGGTCAGACCCATGCATACTCTGAGGGGCTTAATGTGCAACGAACATACACCACCCTTTCATATACAGAGCATACACACTAAACTTGATACACAATGGTCCATTCAGACACAAACTCAGCTCAGAATGATGCAACCAGTCTGGTGAATGAGGACACTTGGGTCCAGTGAGTGAGAACAGCTTGCTTTCTCTTTTGCTTTGCCGATAAGGACTCAGCCTTAGTACATGGGGCGCATGCTCGAACAGATGGAGCAAGTGGGGTGCTCCAGTTTTCATATACAAATCATCATGGTTTCAAAATCAGCCCCAATGGTGGTCCAGGCACAAACACTGACAGTTTAAAGTCAAGTTAAAGTCCTGTTTTACTGCAGTTTCTCTCTTCAATGCTATCTCCATATAAGTCAGCACAATAGGAGTATTTCTCAACCGTCACTCTGCTTTTAGATCCCAAGTTCTGTCTATTTTGTTTTCTATTTTTTTAACAGAGGGAGGCACAAATGATATATATATATAAAATTGATTCAATTTATTCTTTACTAGTAATTCAAGCACATGCAAATGTGCATTCTTAGTCGTGCATCCCTTTATGCATATCAAGTGGGGGGTTCCTACTAATCTCAATTCTCAAATGTCTGCATGTATCCTTCGTCAGACATCTTTAGGCAGAACTTAACCACCTACACAAAGATGGTACAGGTGCTTGGATATAGTGCAGAGAAACATGCTATTTTCCCATTAAACTAGTGAAGAGGATCAACTGTTTGTAATAAGCTACTTGGTTCTTAGACTGTGTCCTGACCAGACTTTTGAAAAACTCTGCACTATTATGATACTGACTCAAATAAGTCTTCAGTTTTTGGGTTGAGATTTTTTTAAATGACAAACTACGTCATGTTAGCTGTTACACTGCTGAACCCTAGCCCGGTGGCTGACAGCTAACTGATGTGTTAACAATATTCTCTGGAAACTTTCCATCAATTCTCCAAAAAGTGTACATCAAGCATCTGAGTTTAGGTGCTCAGGCCTTAGTGTGAGCTCCAGTAAGCAATTGTCCCTTGAAAGTAGTCTCAATGTATGTGTAGGCACACATATGGTTTGTTTTTTTTGGTTACAAGGAAACCAAAATATGAAATGAAAATAAATCAGACTACACCTTTGAAGATGATTTAGTCAAAAAAAACTAAAATACTGCGATAAAGGGTGTAAGGTGATCCCACACTCACTAAGGCAACAAGCAGGCGGACGTTATGAGTTCATTTGGAATTCAGAGCTAAATAAACAACAAGTCAGTCCCCCCTGTCATTGCAAATAAAGACAAAAGCAGCTTCCCAGTCTGTTCACACAGTGACCGCTTCACACGCAATATATAATCTTCTGCATAATTTATATATAAATATTTGAGAGTGAGGAACGATGGTGTTGTTGAGAGGTAGGGAGAGGGATCAGATGAGGTGGGGGTGTGGAGGACAGGTGGGTCTCCTTCTTTTCTTTTTGCTATTTCACTCGCTGGCTTTGTCCATCCTATAGACTACAGTGGTAGAGCAGTCCTGGTGCGACTCAGTGGGGGACACCTTTTTCCAAAGAGGGGCTTTCAGAGCTAGCTCTTGTTGGAGACTCTCGTAATCCATGGGTCCGAAGGTTTGCAGCTGTTTCAATTGACACGAATAACAAATTAATAATCTTGCTCCTTCTGTGTGTGCGGGTGTTTAGTGGCATGTAGTTTTCTGAAACATCTTTTGAAAAATTAGAGCCAAAACTAGTTTGTTTAATTATTTATTGTCAAACCTGGACATTAAGAATGGCAGGTGCTGAAGAAGACTGACTTTGGCTCTAGTTTTTCCTCATTGAAGGTCTCTCTTGTCATTAGTTAATGCACCAAAAAAGTTTTCAAATTACACGTTTTCCCTTTAGGTGTACTTTATGTACAGTTATGGAGATCAACATGTTAGCCAACATCTACAAAACTAACAGCTATTAAATCTGAACGACAGTAACCCGAGCGTCACCTGAGTTCTTGGAGAGAAGGTGTTATGGGTCTGTGTGATTGATGAGTGAAATGAGTGATGATGTTTTTCCCCACATGGTGTTGTGTGTACTTACCCGCTGGTCTCCTCCTTCTCTGCGAGGGTCGTGCTTCTTGGCAAAGTGCCTCAGGTTGTCGTAGTTGTGGAAGTTGAAAAGTTCAACAAGATCCTGGAATGAAAAGGCAGATAGATAGATCAGAAGGCTAAATACATTCATTTGCTTATTTCTTTCATTCTGATGGCTGGAAGTTGACAAGCCAATGGTTTACTGTAATCACTGGCTTGGTAAATAGTGGTAGATAGTAGCATATTAAGTTGTTTCTTTAAAAAAGAAAAAAAAGCTATTATTATTTTTGAGGTAGAGGCGGGTTCTTGCTCCTTGTCATGCGACTGAGATCTGTATCTGGGCTGGCAATCAGTATCCAAGCATCGCTTACTTATTTAAAAGGTTTAGTTATTTTTTGGAAGTACACTATGTCACCAGAGTGAAGTAAGTTCCTGAAGGACAATGTTGCGCAATTTCCTATATTTAACCTTTTTTCCCCCATCAGGGCCTTTTCTGTTTGTGATTGTGTACAAATTGTGTGTGTGTGTATTAAGGCACTTGAATACCGGAACTTCAATGAGTTACTATGTCATTTGAAAGGCAATCAGTCCTATCCTTTTGGCATAAATGTTCATGTCAAGCTATTTCTTATCTCTGTTCAAGATGGATATGAACAATTCGGCAAAATGGTATGTCAAAAAAACCCAAAACACTTATAATGGACTAAAGCTGACCCCGAATAGTCAAAGATGCGATGCTTTGATGGGCAGAGCCTGAATCGACTGTCAATCTCACAAAAGTCAAAGCTTTGCAGCGAAACAAGGATCATGCCATTTTGGGGATATGGGGGTGTTCAACGTCTGATTTTACATAGAACTACCAGTTTTCTCCCAATAAGTTAATATACACCCTATTACAATATACATGTAAATGTTTAATGCTGTAAAAAAAAAATGAGAAAAGAAAAAAAAGCTTTTTAAAAATGTTTTTCAAGTGCGTAAATAAATCCAGATTTGTATCCCTAACCCTCAAGGTAGGGGGCATCAGTGCGCATGTGTTGGTGTAGCATGTATGTGTGTGAGTGTGTAGTGGCAGAAGAGGAACTTGCTGTAGAGACGGAGCCTTAACTTCCTCGTTGTTGTGCAGAGTTGTCTGCACCTCACGGGACGTTCGGATCATTTATCACCATTGTCGAACCACACAAAGAATATTACATCGTTTTTAAATAGTACTTGAAACAGACCCGCGAGGAACCGCGATGTGCATGCAGCTGTCGGCAGCACGGCATGCACGCAAAACTCTGCAAAAGACCGGTGAACGGCAGGCGACAGAGAGATAGAGAGAGAAAAGGGTCAACAGTTTAGCTGCAGCTTGTTAAGATTAAAAAGGAGTTACCGTGTGTTCACCCCCCCCCGCTGGCAATCGCTGCATACAAACACAGTACATGATTCGACTATAGGCAAGACTTGACAATTCTGATTTGACTATGTAAATCCTTAGTCGGGGAAAGCCTTAATAATGACATTACGTACCGTGCAGAACTGTATTCCTCTGACCGAGTTGCCCATCTTGTCTAGTGGAGGTGACCAGCACATAATACCCATCACGTTGGGTACAACCAGCAGGATCCCTCCTGCTACTCCAGACTTGGCTGGCAGACCGACCTAAAACAGGGACAACAGACCAGTTACATAACAGAAGATCAGCTGTGGGTATGTATCTACATTAGTGGCATGGCAACAGCACAATGCTCAAAATGCTCACAGCTTCAGTAATTCACTGGTTACAGCAATCTATCCACTGTTTGTCCTGTGACATGATACAGAAGAATCTTTGCAAAATGTAGGTCTAGGAATTATTTAGATGTGTCTTTCAGTGGGCATTCCTTTGGTTGCTATTCAGTTAAAAGGAGGAGTTTCAGATGAGGGGTCAGAATTTCTACTAGTTCTTTATTTTCCATCAATTAAGAAGTGGACATTTTTTTCCTAAACCCACCTCATATGAACTCAAACAGAATATGCAAAAAGGAATGACTGATGAAGAGTAGAATTTCACTTTGGTGCTGTCAGAACTAACTGCTTCAAATGTGGTTTATCATGAGAAAATGCTGAAGATATGTTCACACATTGGTATTCCTCTCTACAATTTTCTGCCGTCAGGATGTGTCTCATTCAAATCTGCCATCCTCTCACAGCAAACACATCTGCTCAGGCAGACGATGTGAGGCGACGGCTATGCAATGCCGAGGCTTGGGTGTTGTGTTTTATCAGCACAGAGGCAGATAATGTTGCAACTGGGTAATCCTAGGCGTAAACTCCGGCCCCCATTACATTTGGCCTAAGGTCATCCAAGCTATTTAGTATGTCACATTCAAATAGTACCATCTAGAGTATACAGCGTGTGTCAGGGTCAAATTGCACCGAACTTTTGTAAATGTATTGCTAAACCTGTGTGCAAAGTCCTTATAATGTTTTGCTGTCCCACTACTGTATGGGCTAATGTCAAACTAATGATTAACTAAATACATTTGTACCACTCAAATTCAAGGAATGTCTTCGTCCTAAGTAAATGGTTTACATGTAACTATGGGCTTTACTAAGAAACATCTGTAGCTAATGTAAGAGGGTGACTAAAGGTTATGTTGTCAACAAGTATAAAAATATAAAGATCAACACCTAAAAAGGCACCCGTGGGTGTATAGGGTAGTTGTGCTAAGAAAATAATTTAGGTGTTCCGGTTTGAGTCTTTCCTACTTAACAAAATAAATAACAATCTGTTCTTACTAGCCTGGCTCATGTTGGCCTTCTTGTGATCCGTGCCTTTTACTTACATGGAAAGCAAACTGTCCTGAGAAGTCGTACATGCCGCAGGAGTGCATCAGACTCAAGGTGTTCCTCACAGCCTCAGGGCTCAGCACGCGCTCACCCGTGATTGGGCAGGTACCGCCGTTAGCCAGGGTGGCTGCCATGACACTGGCGCTCTCACAGGTCACCTCAATGGAGCACAGCTGGAGTTTCACATAGAAGAAGTTTTTCTATCAGTTCATCGTATCACATTTCTTTATCAGGATTTCCTTCCACTCGGCACAACGTGTCTTGGAAGATGGAACCACAGCAGTGGGGGAACATGAATGAAAACATGACAGTGGGGTGGTGGTATGGAACATCAATGAAAATACAGCTTCCTTTAAAGGGCACATGGGGTCAATGAAAGGTTGGATAAAAACTATGTGCTCTAAACGTCCTCATCATGACACCAAGAGAGGGAAAATCTTTTCTAAGAATGTAAACTGCCAATGTAAGACGCAGATGTAATTTGTATTCTCCCAATAAAATATTACGGTCAAAAACAAAACGAAAAAGAAGAAGAAAAATGCTATTCAACTCTGCTGTAGAGTTTCAGAGACTTGGAGACTATATCACAAGGAGCACTGAAGCTGTTGTGTAGGCTCATGGTGGACCGCGACTTTAATTAGACCCTTCATGTTGGTTTTTTTCCATCTGTGTATGTGTATAGTGTACTGTATGTATAGTGAACATGTGATTTGTAGCACACGGGTAAGTAAACATGATGAAAAACAGAGGGAGGTTGACAGAAACAAAGGGAAATGCGGATATGATTGATAGAGAAGCAGAATCTGGATCCAGTCAGGATCTCTGACACTCTGGGATGGAATCAATATTGCAGGAAGATCAGCAGGAAAGAATATTAACATTCTTAATGAATCATTAATAATTATTAAGAGTTGAAAACTGATACTGGAATAAACATTAAAAAAAACACTGCACTCACTTGAAAGTATAGATCCAGTACAGATGTCATGTCTGTCCCCTCAGGAAAACACTGCAGAGAAGAGTTTAAGACAAGTAGAGCACACAGATGAACATTCATCAACTACTGTACGTTCCCATGTTCCAAGAAGGTGATAACTATATATACTATAACTATTTCTGGGCAAATGGTTTACTGTTAAGGAACCTCTGCTTTGGTGAAAGATAAGTATGTCTACTACAGGTTTTTTTGGAATCCAGGTGATTCCAAATAGGGACATGGAAACTGAAGTACAATCATAAATCAATTGAGGAATACAAAAATGCAAATATTTCTATTGGTGAAAAAACAAACTTTCATTTTGTTTCATCTTTACAGTTACTGCTTTGCAGCCTTGTTGGGCTAAATAGAGAGACAGTGGATAACAAAGTCAGCAAGGCCTTATGAATTATCCAAGGTCAAACCTTTTTTTCTTTTAGGTAGTAGCCGATAGCAAAGTTCCTGTCTCCTGACTCACGCTCCGATTGGAATCTGTCACACAAAGAGCAAACCACTCCCATTACACTGAGGAAGGAAATATTTGCAATGCCTGTGTGTGTGCGTGTTGGAATTCCATGACCCCACCCCTCATGTTCGATGCAACCAGAGCTCTCATGCTGTCATGTGATGATACTGCAACACGATCCCAGCACTTGGCCTTCTTATCGAAATACTGTTTGCTTGTGGTCATCATAAATCATGCACATGCAAGGGACTTTTACACAGATTAACACAGATGCCAGTTCCAGCCCTCATCCTTAAAGTTGAGCCAAATAAATAAAACAAATAACTCATGCTGTGTGTGTAAGACGCTCCAAAAATTACTTTCTTGACCAATTTGATTATAGTACTTGATGTTCCTGAAAATTCAAGTTTCATTACCACCTTCACTGTTCACTTCTTTCTGATTTCCTTCACCAACATCACAATCTTTTTATACAGATATAGTCTGATGTTCTATTCTGTGTGCATCATATTCATGTTTGTAAAGAGTTGTGAGGATTTAGGAGGGACTTACGTTGCGTTGCTGAAACCCACATACTCATTTCCTGCCAGTTTTTTCAGAAAGTTCATGACCTGGAGGGAAAGCAGCAGGAGTGTTAAGTGTGACAAAACAATCAACAGAGGTTCATGGTGAAGTTTAATTCTAATACTGATTGGTGGCCTGTCCATCACAAAATTGTGCTGAATAGTATTTCTAAACGTCACTAGCTGTGTCCCAGTTCAATACTTTATACCTATTGTAAATGGTATGTACTAAACACAAAGTGTCATATTATATTTATTGTGCTCCGTTTTTTTCCTAACAGGAAATAATCCAACACACGTGCCAAAGAACATCAATCAAATTGTGACTTTAAACTGCCAATTAAACTTTGCAAAAAGAAAACAAAATGCTTAACCAAGGATTTAAAACTTTTTTGGTTTTCAGGGATCTTCCTTGAGCTGTTTCACTGTCATTCAATACATTGTTATTATAAAAACATTGATTTTTGGCGCTTTAATGTACAGCTGTGGACAACTTCTCAATTTTCTTTGGATAGTGCATTGTGGGACAATAGTGTACATCCACAAGTGTTTTTATAGTATGCATACTTACTTTTTTGAATACACTCTGTTATGTCACTTTTCTTGTGTAACACTATACACTCAAAACCTACACAATTACTATGAAGTAAGGAAGTGGTGACAGCTAATTATTGACTCTCTAAAGAGATAACAGAACAAACAATAATAAAGAAATAGTCTCTTCCAATATGTGAGCCAGGGCTGACTTCTAGCACTTACATAGTCAAATCTGTCAGCATTGCCTGCACCTTGCTGAGGAGAGAACAAAATAGAGAGTTAGTACAGGCCATTCACCATTGCACTGCACAGCATCATAAAAGATTACTAAATACTACAATGATAAATGCTACTGCTGACAAAATTATGACTATGGAATTATCAGATGTGAATAGATTTTATTATAAATAAAATTTAAAGATGAGCTTTGCCAAAAATTATACAACTAGATATATACAAAATATTTATTTTGCTTTGCAAATAGGTTACAAAAAGGGAAGTCTTTTTGAGTTAAAAGGGAGATTTAGTAGACATGTGAATTACCAGAGCTTAACCAGTAAAAGTCAATGCCATCACATCTCACTGATTTCAGATAAGGGATTCAATATTATTTGAAGTCTAAAGAGTAAAAGTTAAAAAACACAATAAAGTATAACTGCACAGAGATGTGGCTGTATGCAGGCAAGTTTGTATTATGGGTTACCATAACGCAGGTGTGTGTGTGTATGTGCGCCTACTGTAGGTCAACATGTGTCAACTGTGCAAAGAGCCTGTCAGCCAAAACAGAGGGAAGGAAGGGAGGAATGGTCTTCCTCTGAGAATAGAATTTACAGCTTGTAGCTCGGTGTACATTTATCATGTCATACTGTAAGCTCATTGATGCTGCTTATTCGCACAGAGAAAACACAGCAACAGAAAAATGGACAGGCATGCACATTACAAGTGCTATAGCATTAGTTACAATTTACAAATACTAAACGGTTTATGATTGTTGTAAAAAACATTTTTTAACTTTACATTTAAAAGGCTTATTCATGTCTGTCAGACGGTACATTTACATTCTACACTTTACTGTGCAGAAGAAAAAGTAAATGACACTGATGGAGGTGTTAAGAGTCACTAAATGGGGTTTCTACAGAGCTGATTGGAGGAGAAAAAGAGAAGAGGGGGGTTAGGGGATTGGGAGAGTGCAAGGAGATAGATATGGAAAAGGAAGAAAAAATTACCAAAGTCATTTGACCTGCAGCAGCAGTCATTATTTCCCACAGTTCCTAAGTCTGCAAAATATGCAACAACATACAAAAACAGCAACAACATGTAGCCTTCAAGCACCGTGTAACAACAGTTTGGGGCATTCTGCCACGGCAACCATCCCATCGTTTTCCCCACCGAGGATAAAGTGAACTGGGCAACCTGACCATTTCTGCTTCAGTATAGAAAAACAAAAAACACATTGAGACACTGATGACAATGGTGAGTGGATGTGGACACAGACACACATTATTGTCTCTGCAAATATGAAGTGATGTCTTAAATCAGTTCTGAAGAATCCACATGCACAGTCTGCATCATAAATCAATAAGAAAACTGGAGGGCAACCTGTTTGACTTGACTCCTGCAAGCACAGGAGGACAGCTATTATAAGGCTCCTGAGTGAGTAAGGAGGACGTCACTGTACTATGTCATATTCAAGACAATAGAAGATTTCCTGAAATAGATGATGTAGAAATACAGTGGATGTTCTTCTGCTTCATCTTAGCACCGTTTAGATCTACTCACACCACAGCCAGCAATGTTTAAGAATTAGTTCAACCTTTTAGGGAAAATTCTATCCTTCTGAGAGTGATATGAAAAGATCATTATTAATCTTGTGTGTGTGTACAGAGCTACAGTCATGTTTAGCCAGTTTAGCACGGAGGGGGAAACATCTAGCCTGGCTCTATGCTAAAACGAATTATAAAAGGGGTAGCTCAAATCAAGCAATCTGATTGGTTCATAGCAGTGATATAATGAGCGTATATAACGGGTATGATGTCAAATTCCTTTGCACAGATCCGTATCACTCCGTGAAAAACAGGGTTCGAGTTAATAATCTGAGCTTGGTGGGGGTCTCACGCCCTATTTACACCTGGTATTAAAATGCGATCTGATACAGAGAGAGAGAGACACACACACACACACAAACACACACAGCAGTCCACTACTTGCCCCAGATGTCTGCGATATTGCAACAAAGTTTCAATAGCCTGTTCAAAAGACTATTGCTCAAGGAAAGACGCAATTCTGCCCTTTATTGTAAGTGTAATATTAAAGTGTTATTATTTTACGCACTGCTACACAAGAGCTAGCATGTTAAGTTACCAAAGTCAATCTACTGACACTGGACAGTTTCTAGTGGCTGCACAGTAAACGGCGATGTGCATAAATAAATAGTTCTAATAATTTGATGTATGTTGCTTAGCATAGCCCACCGGCAGCCTTGAGGAACTACTTTTGTATTCATAAAGAAATGTCTGTTGATGAAATAAAACAAAGTCAAACTGTAGTGCGTCTGTTAGCCTACTTTCTTTTTGCCACACTTGGTAACCGTTTTATAAAAGCAATAGCTCACTTCAGGCCGTGGTATACGTGGTATATTATATCACAGTTAAGAGGCATTGTTCGGCCCGACGAGAACAACAATTTCCTGCATTCTGGTGTTTTTCTGCACCAATTTCTGGGACACACAAAATTCAGGTGTTGCTGAATTGTGGTGAATATTTAAGAACATTTTGATATTTTATGACCTTGTAACTGATTATTTATTCCCATCTTAAATGTGCAATTGTACTACTGCCTGCCTTGGCCAGGACACTCTTGGAAAAATAGTTTTTCTGATTTAATAAAGGTATAATAAAACAATTTAAAATCTAAGCTAACAGAATATAATGCAGAGCAGCTCTCAGGCATTCTGGGTTGCTTTCAGATATGTTTCTCCTGTAGATCAACTTTTAATATCATCACTGCTGAATCAACACATATGCAGGCGTGACTGATTGAGGTAACCTCTTTAAATGTGCATGTGGCACCTTTTTACCTCATCAATAATAAATTAAATCATTTTAATTCAGTTATAAACTCCTGGACTTTAATAGCTCCTGTGTTTCAGCAGGTTTTCTGCACATTCAGAATCTACCTGGGTTCTCTGACATTTCCAGAATAAAGGATATTTTGAGAGGTCAAACAGCATAAATCATAAACTTTCCAATCAATCTGCGGTCCACCTGTGTGCCGCACCGTGGGGAAGGGATCCATACCACGGATTCTGCAACCCCTTGCACCACTACTCTCCATGGTAGTGTGGGGATTTAATTCTTGCATGTTTTGATGTCAAGATAGGCTATCAGAGTAAAAATGGACTGTCTATTGCAATAGACTAGGCAACTTGATGAGTTTGTTTTTTTAAGTAGCCCATTAAAATATTCCTTCAAATGCAGTGAAGAAGCAGATTATCTGTAATTTAGCTATTTCTACAATTATTTTCCTTTTTAAATCTCCATGAAGGTGTTTATAAGATCACTTTAAAATATCACTTTTGCTGCCGAGCCAACTTTTGTTACCTGTGCCTTTTATTAGGGAGATGTAGCCATCCTAACCACTTGTTTTGCAGTAGCACAGGCTGCCAATACACTCATTATTCCTGAAGCATCTAAATAATGTTCACAGTGCAAGGAATTATTGTAGCAGTAACACCAGAGCAGCTCCTTGTTGAAGCAGGTAAACCTGCATACAGAGGAAGCTGTGCGTCATGCATAATCTCCCTCTCTCTCTCTCTCTCTCTCTGCATCTGAAAAATAAAATAACAGCTGGTAGCTGCTGAGTGAAAGATTAGTTTCACCGGTGACATTCTGTTTATGGCAGGCTTATGTCCAAAGCGATGCTCTGATCAACAACAGGACACTTTTAATATAACTCAATCAATGCAGTGATCGTCTGACATAGATGTTACAGTGTGAAGTCTACATTTGCTCTGCAGAGACTAAAGACACTTTTAATGCGCCGTTAATGGAAAGTGAAAGTATTTCACCCGACCAGCGATTTACTGCGTAACTGCGCACACAGCCTGGATGAACTCATTTCTGTTAATGAAGCAAAATGCAGATTACAGACTGGTTAAGTTATAAAAGGTATGAATGGAAAATGTAGCGAAATTAAGAGTAGTCCTACATTAGATGTACCCACCCCTGCTGAAGACATCATCACTGCTGCCTTCAGCTAGAAGTAACAGCAACACAAAAGAAGAAGCTGCACCGGCCTCGAGCAACTTTTTTGTTCTCCCTCAACATTTCTATACATTTTTTCTGCGACTGATGTGGAGTGTGTGAGTGATTGACTGGTCACTTAGTAAACCACCTCCTATATGAACCAGCTCCGAAATCACCGGAGCCAGGAAGGCTAACATTAGGAAAAGAGGGGGGGACAAGACATAGATTTTGAAATGAAATATGTATAATGCCTCCTCTGCCTATCAGGTGATTAACCTCATCACAGATCTACAGTTAATTTCAGCGCCTCTGCTAAAGTGCAGCTCACAGCTTCAGGTGGAGCAGGACAGACACAGAGGTACATCTGGATCATCTTATTCTCGCTAATTTGCAGGAGAATAAATTATAACAATAATCTATCTCTCCCTCGATCGCTCCCGCACACGTAACGTTAGTTAAGCGAGTAAAGTTCAATTTTCGGCCTTTTGTTGTTCCTTCTGAGATCATCCGGGACTATAGCCTCAACTTCAGTACCATTGTGCCTGCATATAGACCAAACCATAACCTGTGCTCGCGACCATAACTTCCAACTTTCGCTTAGAACATCATTGTAAAAACACTGTCAATTGCCCAGCACCAACAAATAACATAAAAACCTACAGCTTTTTTTGCTAAGCTAGCTAAACATGCCTCTTCCTGCTACATCTAAAGGCAACATTAACAGGCAATGAGAATGAACAAGACAAAACTGCAGGTGATGATACTTTGATACTGTGGATTTGTCACTAAAACCAACCCAGGTAACATTACAGATAGTTATTTGATCCGTTCATTGGCGTGAGATTGATATTAACCTTCTTATCTAATTTTCTGAGAGAAAGCAAATGTGTATTTCCCAAACTGTTGAAGTGTTCTTTTGAAAAGACAACTTACTCACCTTAGCATACTTACTTTAGCATATTATTTAGCACAGTTTAGTGAAAACTCTCAATCTCTCTACTTCTCTTTGACAACTGCGAGGTCACAACATGCTTACTGGCTAAACAACTGCAAATCCTGGACCTGGATCTCATTTATAAAACTGTGCGTAGAAACCTCACTAAAAGTGTACGTGTGGCCAAAAGGCAAAAATTACTTATGACTTGTAAAACTGTGCGTACGCACATCTGTAAGCAATGTTCCATATATATATATATATATATATATATATATATATATACATACACACACACACACACACACTTTTTGTATGAGTAAGCACATCGTGAGCAATGTACAATCAATCGTGTGTCTACACATACCTGGCAATAAAGCTGATTCTGATACTTCACAATCAATCTGAAATGTGGTGCATGTGAGGGAGCTCCATGTCCGACCCTTCAAACGCCCATAATTGCCTATAAATGGTCAGTGACGCCCCTCATTAATATTAATACGTACTGACTGCGTGAAGAAAAGGAGGCAAATTCTGTTAGGAAACCTACAAAATTAAATTTAACTCAGTGTGACACTGACGTTCCTTTTGGTGAAGCTGAAGCATGTTGTTTGGTGGGTAAAAAAAACACTTGCGCACTGCAGGAAAGGGGGCACCGGAGCTCCACTCCTTTATAACCGATCGGCAGGAAGGGGCATCCCTCTTGAGTAGTGACGTCGCTGGCTGGAGGGGGACACACACACGCATGACGGAATGACCCAGGTACTAATATGGATTCCCCCATTTGAAAAGAGAGTAAACCAAATGCATTCCACTTGTGTTTGAACATTTATTTAGGCTGCAAACAGTCCAATCACTTAACGAGGCTGCTGATGAGTTAAAAGAATATATGACTTGTTTTATGTGACATAAGCAGTAGTACACCGAAAGATTTACTTAAATACTTAATAAATAGTGTTATATTTTTCCATACCGTGTTTTTACAAGCAGCGCATCACATCCACACGCTGGCGCACAGCGTTTGGCTCAATAAGGCAACGAACATGTGATAACAAAAGGCTATATAAAACTATACACTCATATTTGCTCAACTGACGCCCTGAAATGGCATCAATTTTAATATAATTTGTCCTCCTGTTCACCTTATTTATGAGAATAAATTGCAGTGCATGCAAGTATTAATTAATGATTCCTGATTTAAACTGTACAACATATTTGAAGCGTTCTTTTACAGAAACAGATATCTCCATATGTGTTTATTATCCTAAATGTGCGCTGCAAATGATCTCAAATTGTCTTTTTTGCGCACTTCAGGGAAAAATCAATCGTTGTTTATTCAGAAAGGCTTTAAGCCCATAATACTCAGAGGTAATATCTGGATTTATTTTACACAATAGTAGGCCTATTCATTTCAAACCGTTTCATCCTTCTGCCATGTGAGTCGCCGTTTCTCTTTTCTCCTCTTTATGTGCGTACGCATGGTTCAGAGTTTACTTACAGGACCGCACATTCTTCCGTCATGTTAGTTTTTTTATAGATCAAAACTTTGCATGGGAAGTGGCGTACGCACGTTTCCAGCACTGGTTTGTACGTACACACCGTTTATACATGAGACCCCTGGTATTTTGTGACTTTGGACTTTTTAAAATCTAGCAATTGTGTGACGACAGCAACAGACAGAAAAGTGTCTCAATGACGAAACCTGTTTTGTCTTGTACACCATGTGAAAACAAAATAATAAATAAAATCACAGAAAGAAGCGACAGCTGGCTGGTTATAGAACAGATCAAAACGCTGCCAAGACAAACCAGATGTTTTTGTAAATAAGGTTTCAAATCAAGGTTCAATGCTTCCTTAAGCTACCATGGGAGTAAGGTTTTTTCTCCGTTATATTACAGTATTTACATTGCAGTACTTAGAATACAGAAAGTAATAATTCTCCTCAAAGTATCCCAAAAACTGAAGTAGGAAACGGTTCAAGTGTCTGAATGTCTGCATAGATTTTAATGGCTTTTTGACACAGGATGCAGTTAACCTCTGAGTGTCAAGGCCCTGAGCACATTGTGCCCAAAACATTGTAAAGTATTAAAAAGAAAACGTCTACATCCAATTTTAATGACCCATCAATGGATTAGTCATTACTCTCTTGCTTCACATGCATAACTGTTTCTGAGCAGCGCTGAAAGGTCATTTGTAGAAACTCTGCTTAAAAATTAACTTTATGGAACCAAGCTCAAAAACACGCCATTGTAAAAATAGTTTATAGGCCCGTGCATTGTCACAAGACTCACGTTTGGGTGAGTGAATACTGGTTTGCTATCATGGAGTAACAGCACAATCATTAATCCCAAAAGGCAATGATTTGAAGATAATTGCCAATTTGTCTCATTCCCTGTCAACAGAAACCATCTGGTCAAGAATATGAGGCAAAGTATATTTAGGTTAAATAGGGTTATGTCAGCAAGGTGATAATGCATAAGAGAAAAAAAAGTTTTAAAAAAAGGAATAGGATTTTTACATGTGGACACACAGGTCCCAGACCCAGGCCCTTGTCACAGAGCTAATCTGCTGTACTGTTGTATACTTCTTTTATAATATAAGTACAAGACTCCAAAATGTAATCAAGATCAAACAGGCCACATGCAGCGCACTTCCTCATAGACAAGAATGATTTTGGTACCATCCACAGCCGAATTACTCTGTGTAGGCATTCATTACATCCCCTCTCTATATTCTTCTCAAGTAAAAACAAACAAAAAAATAAAAAATAAAAACATACAACATACTTTCTTATAGTTAGAGGATGATTTTGGCACCATCCACAGCTGAATAACTCGGAGAAGCCTTTCATTACATTCCCTCTCTAGATTCTTCTGAAGTACCTCAAAGCTTTTGATAGTATCTTTACCACCAATAAAAAAGCAATCAGGATGATTTGTATCATTAGTCTTTAAATCGGAAGTCTAAGTGCTTGGGACAAAAGCTTGCCATACTATAACATCATCTTCAGAAAAAGCTACAGTCAAATACGAGAAGTTGACAATTTTGTAGCAATTCACAGAAAATGTGTCAAAAATCCATAGTTAATTTCAAGATATAAAAAACAGACATCTGCAATACAGCCTAGCAGCTGTAAGAAAAGTAAAGTTGTTTATAGGCCCCTCTTGTGTGACTATGTGTGTTTGCACGAGTGCTGCTAATACACTGCTGGCAACAAATAGTAAAGACAGGCTGGTAGGGTTAAAGAATTCAAAATGAATCTAGAGAATGATCATTAACAGCTGTAAAGAGCTTAAAAGTCAAACACTGCCAATGTGGAAATCTTTCGACAAAGCTGCCATTTATGCCAGGTGTGATTTTTTTCTGTTGTTATGGGTGATCCTGTCACGTTTGTTTTGATTTGATGGATGACGGGCAATTAACTTCTGTGACTAGGAAAGCCAACTGACTCTCAATCTGTCTTCACATTGAGTTAAGAGAAATTCAAAAAGTGTGACAGACTTATTATGTGACTTCCTATCTCTGCACCTGCATTTGACTACTTCTCCGTGCAGGTTATTTTCAGCAGGGTCAATAACAGCGTGTGTGCTGGGGCAGCTAAGTGCCTTCAGGAAGGGAAGGATTAGGACAAGTCTTAATCACCACAACAAGACACACGCAGTGGACTATGGTAGTGACCTAGAAATAATTCCAGCTTGCTCAAATATTTGTCTACTAAGTAACAATACCACAAAATAATAACTAAAAAATAGAAATTAGTCTAAAAAGTGTGGAAAGGATGTTAAATCTGCAAAATACTGTGTTATTGTGAGTCTTCTTGAGTGTGTTTTATTGTGTTCAAGAAACTGTAGGTTAATAGGTAAACTGTCAAGTCATTTATGTTAACCTTCATTTTTTTCTACTTAATAAAGCTATGGTTTCAGTGGAAATGACACACAGACTGGACATGAAAACACATGAAGGAGGGGGGAAAAGTTGTTATTGCTTTTACCTTTATCAGCGAAGTACAAACAATAGCGCCAGCATTCACCATGGGGTTGTGGGGTTTATCTGTAAAACAACAAGGGCTCAGTTAGCAGGCTGTAGAGGATCAAAGAGTAATCAGTCTGAGAGCTCTGTATATAGACAGATTAAACAATAAGAATCAAATACATGTAGAGCGCACATTGACTTGGCAAGGCAAGTTTATTTGTATAGCACATTTCACCAACAAGGTAATTCAAAGTGCTTTACATAAAACATAAAAGCAACAGGGAAATTGAAAATATACACATTAAAATATAATAAAAGTTACAGTGCAGTGTACAATCAGGGTTAAAAGAGTTAAATGGAAAATAAAAACAGGCTGAGGGGTTGAGCAAATAACTGAGTTACAATTATTTTGAAAAGAGAATAAACAGAGAAGTACACTTAATCTACTCTTCTAGCTAGTCTGTACTCGGGTCCATAGCAATCTTTGGGTCCGCTGGAACTCCAAAAACCCTCGGACACTACAGAGAAACCAGGACATGTCTGTCCGCAGGCCACTTTGATCCAGTTATACTCTGGACCCACCTGCGGGTTTACAGGTTCCTGCAAATCACTCAGACGTGAGATTTAAGACCACTTCCTTCACTCTGTTCAATCTCACTCTCATTATCTTTTCACTCAATTTCCTACTCATTTCTCACCGTGTAAATATTTAAATCAAAAGCAATGGTAAAAAGCTAAAAACAAAGAAAAAGAAAACAGGACAGTAAACGTTACAGTGCAGTGTAACTTATCAATCTATTAATTAAAGACAGTGGTAAAAAGAAAAATCTTAAATATTTAATGGTAAAAGAAAAGTCTTCAGTCTTAATTTAAAAGAACTCACAGTTTCAGCAGACCTGCAGTTATCTGGGAGTTTGTTCCAGATATACGGAGCATAATAATTGAACGCTGCTTCTCCTTGTTTAGTTTTGACTCAAGCAGACCTGCCCCAGACGGCCTGAGAGGTCTGGATGGTTCATAACGAAGCAGAAGATCAGAAATGTATTTTGGCCCTAAACCATTTAATGCTTTATAAACTAACAGCAGGATTTTGAAATCAATTCTGTGAAATACAGGAAGCCAATGTAAAGACCTCAGAACTGGAGTGATGTGATCCACCTTTTTGGTCTTAGTGAGGACTCGAGCAGCAGCGTTCTGAATCAGCTGCAGCTGTCTGATGGATTTCTTAGGGAGCCCTGTAGTCGACTGAAGATAAATGCATGGATAAGTTTTTCCAGGTCTTGCTGAGACATAAGTCCTTTTATCCTTGATATATTCTTCAGTTGATAGTAGGCTGACTTTGTAATTGTCTTAATGTGGCTCCTCAAATTCAGGTCCGAGTCCATGACCACACCAAGATTTCTGGCTTGATTTGTTGTTCTTAACATTACAGATTGAAGTCGAGCACTGACTTTCAATAGTTCCTCCCTGGCTCCAAAAACAATAACTTCAGTTTTATCTTTGTTTTGTTGAAGAAAATTCTGGCACATCCAATCGTTGACCTGCTCAATACAGTTACTCAGCACCCGTATGGGATCATAGTCCCCTGGTGAAATGGTTATGTAAATCTGTGTGTCATCTGCATAATTATGGTAACATATTTTGTTGTTTTTCATAATCTGAGCCAGTGGAAGCATGCAAATGTTAAACAAAAGAGGCCCCAGAATAGAGCCTTGGGGAACTCCACATGTCATTTTTGTCAGCTCAGATGTGTAATTACCTATAGACACAAAGTAGTCCCTGTCCTTTAAGTAGGATTCAAACCAGTTTAGTACTGTGCCAGAAAGTCCAACCCAGTTTTCAAGTCTGTCTAGTAATATGTTGTGGTCGACTGTGTCAAATGCAGCACTGAGATCCAATAACACTAAGACTGAAATTCTGCCACTGTCAGTGTTTAAATGGATGTCATTGAAGACCTTAACAAGAGCCGTCTCAGTGCTGTGGTGTGGTCAACAACCTGACTGGAAGACATCAAAACAGTTACTTAGTGCCAAGAAAGCACTAAGCTGTTGAAAAACAGCCTTTTCAATGATTTTACTTAAAAATGGGAGATTTGATATGGGCCTATAACTGCTCATTAGTGAATTGTCCAGATTGCTCTTTTTTAAGAGTGGCTTAATGACTGCAGTTTTCAGGGCCTGTGGGAAAAAACCTGAGAGGAGAGACATGTTGACAATTTAACTTTAATAAAGTTTATATAAAATAGCAGCAGCATGTATTTAATGTACAGATTTGTTTTGAAAAGATGAATGGCTAGTAACCAAAGTTTTTATGTTTATAAGATTTTTGCCTGAGAGTTAGTTATACCTACTGTACATCCAATACTGGCTCTTAGAAAACTATAATATAAATTGTTAAGAATAATGTAAAAAGAAATAAAAAAAACTTATTTCAGTTATCTCAGTCAAAAACAATGAACTATTGTTGAACCAAAGACAATTATTGTCACCTAAAGAAGAAAAGATTTCACATAAAATTATATAGCGGCAATCCTGCCAATCATTTGTCAGCTGGTGACGTCATGTGACCTCTGACATATTCCCACCATACAGTCTATGATTCCCACACAAGAGAGTTAAACCAAGAGATAGCGGTTGCCTTCCATCTCCATAACTTTCTTCCCCTTTGGTTGTAGTAATACTGGGCAAACGGGTGAGAGGACGCCTTCACCAGATCTCTAAAAGAGTACAGCACTTACATCACCTTCATTTCCTCACTGGTGATCCCCTTATGCAAGACAACACAACAACCACGGGGCTATCCTGGCAGACGTGAGGCAAAATTCCGGCACAGGATATGACCACAAGATAGCTGCACTTTAAGTACCATCCTGGGGATTGATGCATTTCCTCTGATGAGCCAACCAGAACTCGGACTGTGATAATTATTATGGGATTCATCTTGATATTAAAATGTCACATAATTAATATTGATAATAACATTAATTAGTACCTAATTAATGTGGGAACCACTCACATGCTCAGTTTAACCCAACCATGTTTATTTCCTCTACTCAGCATCTGACTCATTCCCTTGGCAGCTCAGTCACAGCTCTCATCCTTTCTCTCCAGCATGCTAAAGCTAGACAGTTGACAAGCATTGTCAAGTACCTATCTGGGTAGGTAATGACTGACTGCCCTACCTACTGTCATTGGGGTCATGAGGGAATGTAGCAAAGGGCCTCAGTCTGTAGACACATGGGAAAATGAAACAAATTTAGCTACTGCTGTACCTAAATGCTCCCATGTTTAAAAGACAAAAATACCACTGAAGCCCTAAATCACTGGCTGATGACAGAGGATGTAAACATGCTGTGATTCAATCCCACTTTCTGCCCAATTATTTAAATATAAAATAATAACTAGTAAACACTAACTTCCTAACAGTCAAAGCCCTCTGTTGACATCACATAGGACACTCTCTGTTATCAAACTTGCATCAGGTCTCCACTGCAACATTTTGTGGAGGAAGAATAGTGGGTTTGGGCTGATGAGCTTTTCAGACGCTTACAGACAGACAACTACTCCATAAATGTAAGAAAGGAGATTAAAATCTAAAAGCTCACCATCTTCATTCAGGAAGAGTTTATTAAAGCGCAGACCACTGGGCTCCTTCCCAATGAAACTGTGCACGTACTCTGTGCCGTAGTCATTAACAGCAACGGCATACTTCAGAGGCTTGACACAGGACTGCAGACAGAAGGGGACCTTGGTGTCTCCCACTGTGTGCCTACAAAAGACAAAGCAATAACAAGTTATCTAAGCAAGCAAAGCAGCTGCCGTGTCAGTGATTAGAAACCACACGATTTAACAGAGAGGGTGTTTTACTAATAAACATGAGGAATGGTTTCTGACACAGCAGTCAAAAAACCTGAAAGCATCCCGTGCTGAAACCAGCGGACGGGGTAGGTATTTAACCTACAGAAAGCTGGACTCGATGTCACACAGGAAGGCACATAGCACAGAGCTGCTATTTTAATGTTTACTGGTAAACATTAATAGTAATGTAATCATATAAAAAAAACACAAAACAAAACACCACTGTAGTCCTTTAATACTTGGGCCTGCTCATGACTGCGTCTCACCTCTGTCCGTCAACTGTGCACAGAGAGACGGCCCACAGGTCAGGGTTGAATTTGGCAAGCTGAGGAATGTAGTCTGCAACCTGAAAAGAGAGGTAAGGCAGCTGAAAGAGTGTCGGCGCAGCAGAGGTTCACCTTACACCGGTGACGTCTGCTGAGGTTCAGGCTTCAGTGGAAAAGCTAACACCACTGACACACACGCACGCGCGCGCACACACACACACACACACGTCAAATCCTCATTTGAGGACCAGAGAGGAAAAATCCACCCTCAGATACTGATATCAAAAGGAGTTACTTTAGGACAGTGTTTTGTTTACTTTGCGCCTTTTATCTCCTTCCACTATGAAAATTACAGCAATGACTTTTCCGCATTTTCCAGGAAGCCTTTCGACAACCCCCATAGATGTGCTTCTATCCTTTAGTACATCCACACTAAGGCTGGCTCTATTCTTCAATTTTGACCTTCCCCGATGCAAACCCAATCTTGACAGATACTAAAAGGGAATTTTTGGTTCAGAGAATCCTAGATGGCAAGGCTTATAAAAAGTTCTCTAATATTATGAGATCACTTGTGTTGAAAACAGTAGTTGTGACTGCTGTTTAAAAGACATGGTTGAACATTTCAAAAACACCTTGTCATTTGCTTTAAATGCTGCTGCTCCACTAAAGGTTAAAGAGAGGTCGACTGACAGAAGCTCTTCTGGTTAAACAGTGACAGTGTTAAAGAGGTTAAGAGAATCTGTCGAGCAACTGAAAGAAAATGGAGGAGACTCACAGTTTACTGTAATATATCCAAAGAAGCCATGACTTTCTATTACAATATCACAGTTCACGAATACTGACTGCCTGTAACAAAGCAATATGTCTGGTGAGAAAGGATTACTTTTCCAAGATTACAGAGAATGCCGGAAACTAAAATATTACTCTCCACTAGAGACCAGCTTCTTAACACTGCTCCCACCCATCAGCAGTTGTCTGCATCAAAGTGTGAAGATCTTTGTTCTTCAATAACAAAATACCTGCAATTAGAGGCAGAACTATGGCTGATGTAAAGACCTCAGCAAACTCTGTCAGAAAGATGCAACCATGGAAACATTCACCTGTATTACAACTGAGCTCTGCAAGACTGTGCATTTTAAAGCAGGTGTTCGATAGTGTTTCAAGTCATGTATTTAAGTTTATAAATCTCTTCAAATGGACATCTTCCCAGATGCCTTCAAACAGCTGTTGTAAAACTCTTACTAAATGTAAATGTAAATTCTTTAGCGCCTTTCTAGTCTTTTCGACCACTCAAAGCGCTTTTACACTACATCACATTCACCAAAGACTGCTTCCATTATACATTATGGAGTCACCCAATGCTCCGGAGTTTCATTGTGGGAAGTTCATATCCTGATCATTTTTGTGGCTAACACCAAATAACACACATAACACACAGAAACCTGCTGCCAAAGAGGATCCTGCAGCAATATGTAGAAGCAGCTTCCACAGTGATCCTTGTAATATATTCTGGGGTGGGTTTTTCCTTCAGGTATAAGACGGCAGAGTGCTAATAGTTCAGCTCAATCAGATCAGAGTACTGCTGGCGTTTGTCCTGGATTTGTAATCAAGGACCAGACAACCAGACTGTTAGTACAGACTGATGGTAATGGATCTGTATGGGCTAAATAATTATGATGATGCACTGGGAGAAAAAAAAGAGTTATGGATCTAAGGACACACCTGTCCTCCACAGAGTTTTTTGGCACTTTCATAGAGCTCATCAATATGGGAGGTGAAGGACTGGAAGTCTGGGATGACGAACTTCTTGCGGAAGGCCTGAGTGAGCAGGACAATGTTGCTCTGGACACACCTGATGAATAAACCACAAATAGCATGCTAAAACATCGTGCAAACTGTGCATGCAATTGAAGGAAAAGGAAAAGTTTGTCAACCAAGTTTGCAACCCTGAAGTCTGACAAACTTCTGTGAATGTTAATAAAAGTGGCTGATAACATACCGATCAGCTGCTTTTTATCCATATAGTATGAACCATCATGAATCCATACAATGATGAATGATCATTTTCAATCCACAGAGTGTAGAGAAACATGGACATAGTGCCTGTGACATTATCTGAGTGTTTCAGGAATGTGATGAAGCTCATATTGTAGATTACTGGAGCCAAAAAACCTTCATTTGAAAAAGATGGAGGGAGCCTCTGTGGACAAATGAGCCACCATGATGTCCATAACACCAATTAAAACTTTTCCAGAAGCCTAAATGTTTTTCTAATAGAAAATATTTTCCCAGATTAGCACCACAACACACACTACAAGAAATTAACCTAAATTTTGAGAGTTTAACTTCCTTTAGACAAAAATGTATTGACTTCCCTTTTTATTTTGAAGAAAGGAAGGAAGTTGGTGGTTTCCCTCTGCATACTTTGAGTACATAGTTTTCTTTGAGCAACTATCTAGTAGAAAGAAAAAAAAAACCCAAACAAGACCAGACAAGCCTTACTTTTTGAATTGGTGCCTGTCCAGTGTGACGCCATCTGATGTGTTCTTTAGAGTTTCTTTGAGGGTGTCCATGCATTCCTTCAGTCTGGGATCTCCAGTGCGAAGTCCAGTGGCTTTAAGCGCCTAAAATAAAGAGTATGTAGAAACACCATTGAACAGAAACAATGTAAGTACACCTTCAAAAGTGAAGAGACAACTTGGTATTAATACCAAACCATCAAGCTGAACGAAATTTGAAGGACTTACTGTGAGAAATGTATGAGCAGGAATCTTCTCTTGACCTTCTGCGACTGTGTAGAACAGCAAGTCCTCCAAACTGGGGAGAATGCCTGCATTTCTTCTCCTAGGTTAAAAAGGGTAGATAGACACAAACCCATGTATAAGACACAGCACTACTACGTAATGTGAAAGTATTCCTAAAAGCAACACTTTGCTAAAACTCCTTCACTGTTTCTTTTCTTTGGTGTGGAGGTCAACTCTGGAGAAAAATTTTGGGATAAAACACAAATGACTACATACAGTGCCAATGCAGTGAAGGCATGGTTAATGAGCAACAGGGCTGGGCTTTAGCACGAGCTACAATAACGCCTATTGCTACCTATCTTGCCAGTGTAAACATGGAGCTTATCTGCAGCTGCTGATACAGTCTTAACACATAAGTGAGGGATTTGAGTGACACATACTGGACACATATTCACAGAGAAAGCATGACCCAAGGCTTCATAATGCCAAAAGGAAAATACAATGGAATGTTTCCTGTTGGCAGTGCTCCCTGATGGGTACCGTTATGTTTTAAAGCCTCAGATGATGGAATCCAAGCTGAAGTAAAGTAAAGAGAGGGCATAATCCTGATCAGAGTAATGAAATACTGATCTTAGCAAATGGCGAGTCCCAAACTCATTTATACAGTATATCCCTCTATGATACAGCTGCACAATGTGCAATCTCAAACAAGTTAAAACTGTCAACAGGATACAGTGTGCATGGAGGCTAAAGAGCTCTTCATTAAGAACAGCGTGCTTCACAGCTTTCCTTTACTGGCTTCCAAGAATATTTTCACAGTATCACATCAGTGAGTGTGTAACTAATATAAGCTTTTGGCTTCTGTATGTTTGTGTAGTGCTCCGGTTTCCTCCTAACCAAAGACATGGTGACTCCAAGTTGCCTGTCGGTGTAAACATGAGTCTGTACCAGCCCTCTGACTAGCGACCAAGCAGCAACCTCTGGGCCTGAAAAGTGAAGCCAACAGGGCAATGCCTTAAACCTGCATTCTTTCTAATGGCCTGCAGTGGGCGATAGTTTCCTAATGAGTTTATGGTTGTTCACTCCACCCTCTTGTCTGAATACGGTCATGTCCTATCACGTCTGGTTCCAGAAAACCAAGATGCAGATGGCCAAAATGCCAAACTCGAGGCTTCAAAAGAGTAGTCCACAAACCAATGGATGACAACACAGTGGCTACGTCCGCTTCTTTTATACCGTCTATGCTAGCAACCTGTCCAGGGTGTACCCTGCCTCTCGCCCTGTGTCAGCTGGGATCGTCTCCAGATCCCCACCTTCTAGAATAACTAATGGATAGATGGATTATATAAACACTACCTATTCATTTTGGGCATCCTTTCAATCTAGACCTAGACCATGGTTGACACCGAATACCACCATCAGTGAATGCAGTTTGGTACTTGGAGCTCATAGTGAATCTTTAATATTTTGATTATGCCAACATAATGCCCCCTACTACAGGTAGGTTTAGCTGTAGTGTCTGGAGCAGTGTCCGACCAGGACTGAATTCCAGGAATTCTCTGGTCTTTAGCTGTGCCCAGCCCTCTGTGGCTCCTGGATTAATAAAGCAAACACTGGGGCCTGTTCACACGCTGGTCATGACACAACAGCATGTCTGCGATGGAGAAACTAGACAGAATCAGCATTCAAAGTGTTCAAAATAAGTTTTTCAAAAGTGCAGTTTTCACATATTTGTGGTGGAATTTCAGTGTCAAGAAACAGAAAAGTGAAAGTAAAACTCAATGCTCAATTACTTTTGTTCAAAAAGTAGTCATTAGGAAAAAGCACAATGACTGTGTTTTATGTATATAACAGTGTTCCGTTACATACATTTATTTAATTAATTTGCAGTGCTATCCCTATCACATCTGTCTGCGCAGCGCGCATGTCAGATCCCTCCGTCTCCATGGCTGACTGCAGCTACACTTCCCCTGTCTTCGCAATTGCAACTTCCACTGTTTTCATCTACACTAGAAAACATGTGATGACAAGGCGATGTGGTTATAACAACACAGACCCTGCAGTGTCCATCTGTGGGAAACACCAAAACAATGTTTCACAACAATCAGTATTTAAGTTTTAATAGGGCTAAAAAGAAGTTAGGTTTAGTCAAATTTTGGAGACAAACAGGACAGGAGTCGGGACAACTGCTTGTAACTCAGGACTGTCCTGAATACTTCGGGACGTCTGGTCACCCCATCTACTCTCCTTTTAACCCATCCTCTGCTCTCCACAGAGTAAACACCCCATATATAACCAGGTAACTGCACCTGAACATGTGCAAACAACCAAAGACTGACTAAAATGCTGTCTATTAGGCATGCCTAATTCAAAGAGAGTGTTATTGACCGGACATCTGCCACTACAACAGCCCTTCTACACAGCAGTCAGACGGTGCACCACACAACAGTAACGCAACCGGCAAACTAGAGTGCAGGTGTGCATGTGTGATGATGATGAGTAACATATTTACAAGTAAGTTGAGTTAAAGGATAAGTGAACTGGTAGGAACACAAAAAGCATCCACCACAATCCAGAAAAAACACTATTCTACTTCTGCATCTACACTTAATTTGGGCATTTTTAGTGGTGAGAAAAACCAACAATAACTTGAACAACAACAGGATAGATTTGTTTGGAGTCTAACGGTAAGTCATGCTGCACGCTAAGTCATGAAGAGACACAAAAACACTTGATTGACTTGAACAACAACAGGATAGATTTGTTTGGAGTCTAACGGTAAGTCATGCTGCACGCTAAGTCATGAAGAGACACAAAAACACTTGATTGATGATGATTGTTATGGTGCAACTGGACTTCATCTGCCATAAATAAGGACAGACTGCTTACTGCAACATGAGGGACAGATGGCTGAATTAACAAATGCCACATCCATATCACATAATCTTGTGGTTTTGATATTCTCAGTTGTCACCATAAACCAAATTAAATGAGCAAACCCACCAGACTCAGTTTAAACGGGGCAAACAAATCAGATGTGAATACAGCCTAAAACACCTTGTTTCTCTACATTTAATGATCCTCTTCTTCTTCACAGGCAAATGGATTGAGCCATCCACCTGTGAAGTAGATGACTGCTCACAGGCGTACGCAGAACACTTTGAGAGTTTCCTGGATACGAGGTTTAGGCTGAGCTGTGATTTTTAAATCTTTTTTTGCTGTGGAGGAGTATCATTTATCATTCATTCAGCACAGCGCATCTTCATTCAAGTCACCTCACACGTCAGTGGACTAGCTATCCTGAAAGGCTTCATTACATTACATCCTCAACATTCTCTGCAACTGTCTTAGCTGACCTTGTTGTCAATTAAAATGACGTTAGAAACCATGTTTTGGCAAACACCGGACTATATAAGAGAGAATTATAGATGACATTCCATCAAACTAATTCTGACAGCTACTTCCGGTCCCGCCCCCATACCGGATATGTGTAATTAACTGATAAGAGGGGTGTATCCGGTCCCACCCCAACCGTAAATATGTGTATTTAGGGTTCAGGGACCGCGGATCCAAAAGGACGCAATCCTCAGTCCTTCTTGGGAACCAGGAAGTTTCGGCTGTAGAAGCCGGCTTCTCTGACCGGCAGGGAAATTAGTTCTATGGCCCCTTTCAAAATGATGATGACTAGACATAGTGATGTCATTTAAAATACTACTTATTATTACTGTAAATGCTGTATTGTTGTTATTTATAATATTTCATATTTATACATTTTATTCAGTTCGGGCTAAAGCTCTTAGATATACTGAATACTGAAGACACGTCTGTTAAGGATAGTGCTGAAACTGGTGACGATCAGTACATACAGTCTTTAAAGACATCCTCTTTAGTAAGTAATATAACCTACTGCTACATTTGTGGAAAACCAGTCAAAATGTACACGTCATTTAAAAAGTTTGGTTTCTCCACATGGGAATCAAGAAAAGGAACATTGGAATTAGCGTATAACACATGATCAACTATATTGTGGTATACTAGCCTGTACATTCTGCAGGGATGGAGAGAGTCAGGCGATTGATTCATTGCATGTAGGCTAAGCAAAGCTACCGTATTTCTATTAAATTATGTTAAATATTAACACAACTTAATACATGTTTTTATTTTCCACCCCAATATATTAACACCGCTCTGGAAGGCACATCTCTACAGGTATGCCTGAATAGAAATGTTTAACTAGCAAGCCGCTTTTAAAGCTATTTTAATGCTAGTCAGTGTCAACATAAATTTAAAATTAGTGTCTTCATTAGTATTTTGTTGGACAGTACAGCTGCTTGTCCCCATATAAACCTATGTCAGTTTGGTCTCTCTGACTCTTGCTCTCCTGCTTTGCATTGTTTTTGTCACTCAAGCATTTGCCCTTTTCACTTTAGACTGCTATTTGGTCAGATAAGTGCACATTACATATAACTTCACTAAAAATTGCCATCACTTTCATGATGTCCCTTTCCAGATGATTTAATACACCTCCTAGCCAGTTGCTGTAGAATACTCTGAAGCTAATGAAAATGTAAATTAACATTGCTTTGAAGTTTTAGATTTATAATATCCTGTAACTGACATAACACTTGTAGTAAAGTTAAGATAAGATTTTTTCTTTTGCACTGTGTAACAAGAACACAGACGAGGGGGACAAACAGGCGAACATGAGAAGGGAAGGGCATGAACCCCATGGTAAATACACAATACAAATACAAAAGTATGTGTTTTACTATCAGTTCAGAGTCATAGTGAGCCATCAACTCAGTGTTTAATGCCCCAACAACCGGTGGTACATACTAATGTATTTGTCATGATATGTAATTCTGTTACTCAAAATGCTTCTTCACAGCAGGGGGTTTCTTTGTTGTTCTGCTGTCCATTTGCTGCATAACCTAATGTTGACATGTAAAACCATTGCTGATTGTAATTCAATCCTTCCTGCATGTGCTTCACAAAACAAGTAAATAGTATGAAGGCGGGGACAGGATTTTTTAAATGTGAAACTAGAAGTTTTGATGGTGTTTGTGGGCTAGCTTATCACAAGCAAAAACAGACTTCTCC